ATAATGCCGTAAATTTGCCACCAGCCATCTGGCTACCCTCCCAAGTAGTGACATTGCACGATTGACTTTTATGTCAACAATTTTTATGATCATTTGTAAATCTATCTAATAAACCCAAGCGCAACCTTGTTAATTCAACAATGGTCATTTATGGCAATTTACAACCAATTAAAAGATCAATAAGCACAAAGAAAGAATGACTAGACATTGAGAGATCTCAAAAGTTCAGATGAAGTAGTAAAAGTGTACATCACAGAATAAGAGTATATATTAAAGACATCAGCTCTGCGGTTTTGTTTTGCTATAACGAAACGTTGTTGCGAGCGTCTTCTTCTTTGTCGAATAGGAGCGCTTTCGTCCAGTTGTGATACCAAATATAGTTAAAAATACATCCATAACCAATATACATACCTAAGTAGGCGATATCTGTTTGATATTACTCGATTTGGAATCTGTTTTACCTCCATGATTGTGATAACGCTAACTCCCATCCATAAACCAAGCTGTCCACCGAAGTCTGAGAGAAGATTTGGCCACTAAATTATAGCTATATAGGAAGTTAGATGCGATAGAGGACTGATTTTGCTTACCCCGTATGCTTCGCTTTCAAGCAATGATTCGTAATTTAGTTGCTCAAAGTAGACTTCTACCATAGCGCCTTGTTCCCTAAATTTGATTTCTTTTCTTTCTTTTCATCTATTCGCAGTTAGCCACAGTCTTTGGATACTGGATCACATTGCGACGCTCGTATGTCAGATATTTCCGAAATTGAAGCAAACTCTTTCCTCATTTCTATATTCATTCGTGTCTCAAAATTTGCCGAGTTTTTCTTATAAGTTGTGCAGATTCTGTAACCTTTAAAGTGCACAGCTCACACCAAAATCAGAAGTGCAGTTACCTGATGGGTCATGAAAGTAATCAAATTGAAACTAAATGGTGAACAACATAAAAAGTAATGTGAATGGTTATGAATGTCTCAAATGTGTTTGACTTCATTTGCGGTTCCACAATAGCGTTCTTGATGTTATTTTATTTTGTGCAATTGCACAATGGCATGATTCCAAGTGCTCCTGTTCGTAATTACACCTGAGAATAGAATAAAGGTGTAACCTTTTGTACATCAAACAGTGATGTGGTGCCATTCCACTCGGGCATCCGGACTGATCGCCTGGTACTGCAGGCCACCTCGATGCCGAGTACG